GCAGGAGGAGGGGCTGAGCAGCGCGCAGGAGGGGCTGAGCAGCGCGCAGGAGGAGGGGCTGAGCAGCGAGCAGGAGGGGGGCTGAGCAGCGCGCAGGAGGGGCTGAGCAGCGCGCAGGAGGAGGGGCTGAGCAGCGCGCAGGAGGAGGGACTGAGCAGCGCGCAGGAGGAGGGGCTGAGCAGCGCGCAGGAGGAGGGGCTGAGCAGCGCGCAGGAGGAGGGGCTGAGCAGCATGCAGGAGGAGGGGCTGAGCAGCGCGCAGGAGGAGGGGCTGAGTAGCGCGCAGGAGGAGGGGCTGAGCAGCGTGCAGGAGGGGGACTGAGCAGCGAGCAGGAGGAGGGGCTGAGCAGCGCGCAGGAGGAGGGGCTGAGCAGCGCGCAGGAGGGGGGGCTGAGCAGCGAGCAGGAGGGGGGCTGAGTAGCGCGCAGGAGGGGGGCTGAGCAGCGCGCAGGAGGAGGGGCTGAGCAGCACGCAGGAGGAGGGGCTGAGCAGCGCGCAGGAGGAGGGGCTGAGCAGCGAGCAGGAGGAGGGACTGAGCAGCGCGCAGGAGGAGGGGCTGAGCAGCGAGCAGGAGGAGGGGCTGAGCAGCGCGCAGGAGGGGCTGAGCAGCGCGCAGGAGGAGGGACTGAGCAGCGCGCAGGAGGAGGGGCTGAGCAGCGCGCAGGAGGAGGGGGGGGGGCTGAGAAGCAAGGTATTTATATACAGTGAGTGTTTTCTCAGATCCTTCTCTTTGTCCCAGAGATGTAGAATCCTGCCTGGCTGTTACTGCATTGCTCAGCAGTGGTGTGTGTGCAGAGATCAGTCACGCTAGGAGCAGCTTCCTCTTTCACTGAGGTTGCAGTTCTTGACTGAGCACGCAGAAGCTGTTCTGCAGCCCACTGAGAGGAGCTGTGTGACTCCTGTCTCGTTGTGGATGATACACACACTGCAAATTTGTGTTTTCTTGAGCAATACACACAGTAACCTTCAGCAGGTATGCACCGCAAAAGAGGTCAGCTCTCAGTTCTCGATTCAGTACTTGAATGATTGGAAAGTTTGAAGTCCTGGAGTTTGCCTGGAGTGGCCTGGAGCCTACTTCTGGCCTCTGTGGTGATAATGGACTGAATCTCATTAAGACCTCTGTCTTATGGGATATGAATTCCAAAACTTATGAAAGTAAATCTCAACAAATTAGATTACTTACTGTATACTGTTATCTACTCTGGGAAACATTTTATTCTGCTTCCAGTGTGTCTGAAGTCCTCCTGATGCTTGGACGAACAGTGAGGGATGTGATCTGTTCGTCTGATCAGCAGCATTCTGGCATGACGCTGGGAACTCTGTGACCCTGCTGTGATTCAGGAAGTGGGAATGGAATGGTTACTATGCACTGAGCAACTATTAACCCAGCTTAATTTTGTCCTACAAAATTTTCGATTCAAAATGCATCGTATGCAGCACAGTTCCATGGATAAGGTGCTCTAATCATCCCATAATCAGCTTATGCAGCTTAACATTTTATAATTTTAGAACTAGGTAATGCATTTGATTGAAAATCATGTTAGCTTTTCAAACAAATGGCGATACTGGTGATTTTGTTTCATTTGTATTTCCGTTCCCAAAACTGGGCTCAATAATGAGTGATGTCGGCATCATGTATGTAATTGGACATGAAGTGCTTGTGAGAACTGTCTGGAGTGCAGAATCCAGACTGCAATTGTAATGCTGGAAGCTGTTAGTATGATGAGATGATGATGCCAGTTCTGCACTGTGATTGCAGTGTTGGGGGATGTGCCTGCCCTGTGACAGTTCTGCACTGTGATTGCAGTGTTG